TATATATATATATATATATATATATATATATATATATATATATATATATATATATATATATATATATATATGGTCAATTTTAAAATGATTAGTGTCCGAAAAAGATTGAATGATAGGAAGGAAATAAAAGTAAACAATTAATCATTTATATTTAACTAAAGTAAACATTTTGTCTTGTATTAAATGATTACTTTACTTTTATTTACTCTCTAATGGTCATTGAAGCTTTCATCACTGTCATCACTTTTCTCCCCTTTTTTTCTAACTTAATCGTTGATACCTCTCTCTCTCCCTTTTTCTTTTCTTTTTTTTTTTTTCATCTTGTTAAATTACTTTTTGTCTCCTATTTGTGTCATTCATTCCTTATTTAGTTAGTCAATTGTTAAAAGGAAGAGAGGGGAAAAAAAGTGGACAATATGAGATTTGAAAAGAGCGAAATGAAAACGTAAAATAAAATTGGAAATCTTTTTTCTTTTCTTTCCTTTTCCTCATCGATAATTTATTATTATACTTAAAGATATGAAAATCCTTTTTAAGGGATAGCTCATTTAAAATCACAAATTATTTCAACACTTTGGTTTTTGAAATTGGAAAAAAAAGAAAGAATAGAGAATAAAAACAACAATAATGGTTGTTGTTGTTGTAGTTGCTATTGCTGTAGTTGTAGTAGTAATTGCTGTTGTTGTAATAGTTATAAGAGTAGTTATTATTGCTGCCGCTATAACAGTTGCTGTTGTAGTAGTAGTAATAATTGTAGGAATAGTAGTATAGTTGTTATTGTTTTTGTCACTGCTGTAGTAATAGTGGTAGTAGCGGTTGTTGTTATATCAATAGTTGTTGTTACTCCTGTTGATGTTAATGTTACAGTAGTAATAGTAGGAGCAGTAGCAGTAATAGTAGTAATATTAATAGTAGTTGTTACTGCTGTTACTGTTGTTGTAGTTTTTCTTTTTTTTGTTGCTATTGTTAATTTGTTACTGTTTTTATTATTGTCGTTAAGGTTACTGTTACAGTAGTAACAATAACAGCAGTAGTAATAGTAATAGCAATGTTAGTAATAGCAAGGGAAAAAGATATAATCGACCGAAAAACATTTCATTTCATTTTTTAAATATGTCACCTTATTTATAAATATGTTATTTCATTTCATTTCTAAACATATCATCCCGAGAAATATTCAACTAAACTATTCATTACACACATAAAAAAAGAGCGTATTATTTACGTTCAACAACTATCTCTCTCTCTCTCTCTTACCCTCTTCTCCCTCTCTCTCTGTCTTATTTTTTTTTTTGTTTTCCATTTTTTTTCAGTTTTGTAATAAAATGAAACGGACATGGAAACAAACTGAGTGTGGAAAAAGAGGTGGACGAGACAATGTATTACATCAAAAACTTAATTTCAAAAGCAAAAATTTGAATCAATTTACTCATTTAACAATAAAAATTCAAATTAATTTATTCATTTCAAAGCAAAAAATTTAAACAAATTTACGGTATAATAATAATAATAATAAACTATTATTTGTAATTGAAAAAATAAAAGGAAATGCAAAAAAGAAAACAGTTGAATTGAATTTTTTATTTCGTTTCCTTTTTTTTCTTGATTATTTCGGAAATACTTCAAAGAAATTTTATCAGCATAATTCTAATGAAATGCAACATTTTATCACAAAAAAGAAAGATAAGAAGAGAAAGGGTAAAAGAGAGTCGAGGGAGAAGGGTGGAGAAATGAAAAAAGGGGAAGACAGAGAGAGAGGGAGAGAGAAAAAGAAATGAATGAATGAATGATGATTGTAGTGAGTTAATAATGACGTTGACAATTTGAGATTGAAACTATGTATGTAAACGGTAGAGAAATCCCTTCTGCTTACATTGAGGAGTACTTAGTAAGAGAAAGAGAAAAGAGAGGGAATTTTAGGAGAGAGGGGAAGAAAGAGAGGGGTGGGAATAGGAATGAAAGGTAAAACATATTTGAAAATGCGACAATCATAAATTTTCATTTTAAAATTATGAAATATTTCGGTGGAATGGTATTTTGTAAGTGTTAGAATTACTAATATTTTAAGTTACAAAAAGTAATAAAAAGAAAAGTATGAAATTACAAAATGAAGAAATTTAATTAAGCATTTTTGAATAATGAAATTGAAATCTGGAAATGAAGAATTCAAAAACTAGTGGAAATGAAAATATAAGTTAATGAAATGTTTACACTATTAATCTTGACACAGACAGACAGACAGACACACACACACACACACGCATGCACAGCCACATACAACACACATATTATATTATATACTTAATTTCCTCAGATTTAAAAACAAAGACATTAGCATTTTTCGTCGTTGATCCCGCATATTTTATTTTCTCCCGTTCCTAATTAATTATTGGAATTTTTGTACTTGAATTGATCAAACATTTATTGTTATGTCTTATTCTCTTTTTCTATTTCTTCCATTTTTTTTCACCTTTTTTTTACGTTTTAAAACTAAAAAATATTTTTAAAAAAATCTGAATTTGTTTATTTGTTTAAGACGGAAAATTTTCAAATATTTCAAATTTCATACTATTATGTTTACAAAAAAAAAAGAAAAAGAAAAGAAAGAAAGAAAGAAATTTCATTCTAAATGGTAAAAGAAATATCAAAACTTTGAATTTTCTATTTTATAGCATTGAAATAATAAAAATTTAAAATTACATTACGCTAAACAATTCATCAAATTATTATACTTTTATAGTAATTTTTTCTAGAAATTAAATTATCCTGATAACACCGATACTGAATATACCAATATATTATCCCGACAATATCCAGTGGATCAATTTAGTGAATTTATAATTCTACTTATATACAAGAAATTTTAGAATTAAATCATCCTGGTACTACCAAATATTGTAGTATTAAATTATCCCGATATATTCCGGTAATATCCGGTGGATCAATTTTATAGATATATGGGGATATGTATCATTCCCTCATTTCCTGTAAATGCGGTATGCGATTTACAATCATTGGGGATAATTCATCTCCCATAATGCACAATGTATAGTGCATCAACCCCGCGATCCGCATATTCCGGGAATCATTTGGGATATTGATTATTCTCTGCAATAATACCGAACTGTCCCACATTTCTCGTTCGAGCTTGCTTAACTGCGCAACTTAATTACGTAACGCACAATGTACAGTGCATCAACCATATTTATATATTGGGATACGTATAGAAAACGAATAATACTAACAAAGAAGACTGAATTTGATGAAAAAGGCAGTAGTATAAAAATAAAGGAGAGGGGAAGATGATTGGGATACAAAGACATAAGAAAAATAGGAAGCGGGAGATACAGGGAGGACGGGGGATGAAGGCAAGAGAGAAGGGGACAATACTTCAATGTCGATGGCATGTCACATCTGTTACAATGGCACAAACAGAACAATTCAACCCGTCCAAAATGCATTTGGAACTGTTTATAAAAATCACTTTTACGACAATATATCAATGCAATACATTTGCATAATGTATGTATCTGTCTGTCTGTATGTGTATGTGTGTGTGTGTGTGTGTGTGTGTGTTTGTCTGCAAGTGAAATACACATACATATATACATGTACACATATAAACATCTCTACTATACATAATGATTGAAGCATATTGCTAATCAACATAAAGCATAGTTTACGAAAAAGGTCAACTGTCACAAAAGAATCACGTACACACATACATACACATACGCAAACACACACACACACATACACGTACACTCACACCCACATGCAATCACACGCCCACGCACACACGTATAGGTACACCTCACGCACACACTTGTACGCACACCCCACGCACAGACATACATGCGTCTGTCTATCCATACATGCATACGCATATCCACGCAACGCACATGTACGTACATCCACATATACGTACACCATATATACGTACATATATGTATATGTACGCACATATATGTATGGTGTACGTACACACATATAAGTACACCCATACACCCACATATCTACTACCCACGCATATACATACGTACACCCGTGCAGACACATATACGTACACCCACGTGCACATATACACGTCTGCTTATACGTAAACATGTACCCACACATGCGGAAACGTATGTATACTTACGCATGCGCTAAAATGCACTTTCAATGAAGAAATGTTGCATATTGTAACCGAAGTGAATATCAAATTTCATTTCACTTCAAATCGATTTACAGCAAAAAGTATCGAAATAATTTGCCAAAATCAATAGGATCAATTTACACAACAGTTTAGCGCAAATGTATGTCATAGTACCAAATGTCAAAGGGATCAAATTACATTATACGGTTTAACTTAACACTGATAACACTTATTTAAACAAACAAGCAAATAAAAGAAAACAAAAATTGTAACTCCAATAGCACCAAATGTTAAAAACAAAAACTTTTGTGCTAAGTGTAAAAAAAGAAGAAAAACTTTCAAAAAGTATTCAGACAACTTCCTTTTCTTCATTCAAAAAATTCAAAAATAAATTAATTAATTGATCAAAAGGATAAAACAATAAATATAACCGAAATTCTTTAAACAAACATTTTTTCATTTTCCAAGAAAATAAATTAATTAATTAATAAGTAAATGAGCAAATAAGTAAAAACGTTAGCTAAAAAAAATGAGAAACTTTTGAGTATTTTTTTTTTAAATTCAAAAGAAAAAAGAAACTAAAAGAAAAAAAATGCAATGAAATGACAAAAATGACAAAATGCTATTAACATTTAAAAAGAATTTTCCAATTTTTTTACTTTAAAATGTATGATTAATGAAGCGTTTTTTCCTTTCATTTTCTTTTATTTTTAAAAATTAAAAAATGAACGAAACAAAAAAAAACAAACAAACTTTTTGAAAGAAAAGAAGAGAGGAAGAGTGCAAAAAAAAAGTACCACGGAAATTATTTTAATGGATGTTTTCGTTTTATTTATTTATTTTATTTTATTTTTTTTTAGTAAACGAACATTTGGTTGATATTAAATGAAAAATGCTAAAGTGATTGAATGGAAAAATAAAAAAAAATGAAATTTAAAAAGCTATAAGTGTAAACAAAAGAGAAAGAGAAAGAGGCAGAGGAAAGCGGGAAAAAATGAAATGAAATGGAAATATAAAAGTAAAAATG